AGGATTTGTTCTTAGTTCATGAAAGGCACAGCCTGCCTGACCCATGGAGATGCCTCCTGTAGCAGTCAGAACCCCTTGGTATGCTGGGTTTCTTGAAAGTGCCCTGCATTAGGAGCTAAGACTGGAAATGTCACTTAGTCCCAAGTTTTAAAGGTATCAGAATATCACACATTGTGATTTTTATCTCTGTAGACATCTGCCCACACACTGTTTAAACTCTGTATCCTCTTGAGGTATCAAACAATCTCACCCTTTAAAACACAGCCACCTATTGGTGATCCTGGGGGCAGGTGATTGGATGTTAGTTCTTCATTCTTTCTTAGGAGGATGGTGTGGAAAGGCACCGTTTTAAGGAGCAGAAGTAGAGACATAGGTGAACGAGTGTGGAGGATTGGGAAGCGCTCAGCTCTGTATCTGGTTGGAACTGGGGTCTGATTTGGCTTCAGTAATTGCAACGTGACCTTAACGCAAGTCACATTGTTAGTCCCAGGTTTTAGTCTCTATCTCTATGGCATTTTGTCTAAAATGCATTTATGTATGAAGATGAAACATTTAAGAACTGGGGTGAACACCCCTTTGAAGGAGGAAACTGCCTTTGTTTAGGAAAAGACCTTGATAATCTACAACAATAAACCATGTTGTCTAATAGAAATATAATACAAGCCACATTTGTCAGATTTTCCAGTAACCACATTAAAAAGTTAGTAAATAAATAAAAAGAAACAGGTGAAATTAATTTTAGTAATTATATATTATTAATTACACATAAGAGTTGTATGTAGGTCAGTCCCCGCAAAATATATTAAAAAAAACTATTGCAATATTTCACATTCTTTATTTCACATGAAGTCTTTGAAATCTGGTATATAGTTCACTTGTATGGCGTAACTCAGTTCACACCAGTCACGTAACAGTGTGGGTAGCCACATGTGGTTACGGCTACCGTCACTGACAGCGACAGCATAGATCTTGGTAGGTGCCAGAGCCACAAAGGAAGTGGTTCTCCAGGAAAGGGAGTGTTCTTCCCTCCCCTCCGTGCTTCTCCTCCTTCCCTCCATCTGTCTCCGTCTTAGTCTGTTTATTTGGTTCCCCTTCCTGACAAGGCTGAGAAGATGAACGACCAGTGGAGGTCACGGTGGATGCTTTGTGTTACTGGAATTTTGTGGAAAATGAAGGTTAGGATAAGTGCCATGAAAGGACTGAGAGGGAGAGGCCGCTCACGAGGAAGGTGCAGAAATCATGAAAACAGCACCAGCTAAGGTGTATGGAGTCCCTACTGTGTGCCAGGCACCGTTCTAAGCCTCTTAGTGGGTCCTCTCAATTACACCTTACAGAATCCTAAGAGGTAATCACTTTTTCCTATTTTGAAAATGGGGAAACTGAGGCTCAGAAAGGTTAAGAAACACATCCAAAGTCACGCAGCTAAGGTTTGGGCCTAGGACATCTTGTCTCCAAAGCACTGCAATGCTAGTTACATCACAAAATCTTGGAGGAAAATGAGTCTTAGAGAAGGCTTTGGGCTCCATTTGGTAGGGACTGGGTCGTTCGCACCAGGGGTTTAGGGACAGGAAGGCCCCAGGGGTCATCTGGACAAGACTGGACCTTGCAAGATGGCTAAGATCACATTATATGGCTAATCACTGACCCACACACCATTACACAAAGCAGGATCTTAAAAAATGATGACAAATGATGCTTCTTTCCTTCTCCTCTTTGGCCATAAAATAAGCCTCTTCTATGGGCTTTCTTAGTTTTGCTTACATCTGTATCCAGGCCTGATACATAATAGCTGCTCAATAAAAATCTGTGGCTCTCAGGGGGATGTGCTGGCAACATTGGACCTGATGGCTCATAGTCCACTGGGGGGCTTGCAACATGGTGCTGCTGATATGGGGTGGCCTTACAGCCCTGGGTGAAGGGGATGCTTACCTGAGGAAGTGACTGGGGTGTTCTGACCCAGAGTTCTTGCACTGAGCTGAGGACAGGCCAGTGTATATGTCCCACGGCAAAGCTTTATTTTGTTTGTTTTCTACTCAGTTTTAGAAATTGAAATGCAGCATATTATACAAGGAGCAAAGTGTAGGAAATGTAAGTGTGCAGCTTGTATTTTCACAAAGGGAGTCCACCAAATAAGCAGCTCCTAGGTCAAGAACCGAACACTACCAGGATGCCTGAGTGCCCCCCACCTTGCCCCAAGGGTACCTGCAGTCCTAACTTAGACTCCATAGACTGCTTTCATGTGCCTACACTTCCCAGAAAATCCTATGATTGGAGCTGTGGGGGACCAGTTTGTTTCAGTCCTGCCTCCCTGATATCCTCCAGGGTTGTGGTTCTAGTGTGGTTCTTGTGTCCATTGCACAGATGAGAAACGGAGGCTCTCAGAGGTTATGCATCTTGTCCAAGTCTCACAGCCTGAGAACTGATCAGGAATTCAACCAGAGCTGTTATGCTCCCAAGCCCCTATTCCTGACCATCATCCCACATGGTGTCTTCTGTGACATTTTGTCTTGAATCCCAGGGTTGGGATGTTCACACCACGCTTGCTGTTCTGCGTGGTATCTGGGGGTGGCTGCTTTGTGGATGTGAGGAGGGACCAGCCACCTGACCTCGGAGCCCAGGGTGCTGGATTGGTCCCGAGGGCATGCTCCCAGGCCTAGAAGGACCGAAGGCCGCACCGCTCCTGCCGGATTGACTTGGCTGGCAGAGCCCATTCCGGGTGAGGTGTAGGTCCTCACTGCCCCAGGTTTCCCACTTCCACTTGCCGCTAACAAATGGCTCTGGCTCTGGTGAGGGAAACTTTCAATTCAACACAGCCAAACAGCTCACTCCCACCAAAACGAACGTGCTCTGTGCTGCCAAGTGCGAGCTGAATCCCCTGGTCTCCTCCTCTGGGGGCATGGCTGCGTGAGTGGGTCTGCTGCCTGTGAGTGCGTCACTACCCGTTGGCACTCAGAGGGTAGAGCCAGAGCAGCAGGCTGGGGGTCGGGGGGCAGCCTCTGCCCAGCCTGGAGGCCTCTTGGGATGGCTGGAGGTGGGCCTGTATATTTCAGGCAGAGGAGCTTTGCACTCTCTGTGGCATGGCCCCCTGCCCCTACCATCGAGAGGGACAGGTGGTGATGGTCATTCTGCAGTTGGCCCTGGCCACAGAGAGATTTGCCAACAATTCTGGAATGGACATAACCCCCAGCCTCTTTGGCTCAGAGAATGCAGCCTGACCCATGAAGCTGCAAGCAGGCAGTTCCCAGCCTGGCTTTCTCTCCAATATGATTGGAGTGGAGATATGAGCTATTACAATAGGCTCAGTGCCCTTAGGACTGAAATTTAATTCAAAAAGGCAAAATAAAATCACCTCTCTGGAGGCAATGGTTCTTATAAAAATAAAGCCAATATTATTATTATAATCCTAGCAGGTGAGTTGCAGACCAATTTACTCTTTGCTGGCCACTGGGCTAAATGTCAGAGATTGAATGGTGTAGCTCTTGAGCCAGACCATCTAAGGGTGAATCCTGCATCCTTTGCTTAGCTGTGTGACCCTTGGGCAAGTTACTTCACCTCTCTGTCCATCTGTAAAATGGGGATTACAACAGTGCCTCTCTGTAAAGTTGTGTTAATAAATGTAAAGCACCTAGTCTGACATGTTGAAGGTGCAATAAACTTTGAAACGATGATGATGAAGATATGCACAGAGTTAATTATAATCTCTGAGCAATCCGGATAATTAAGTATTCATAGTTTACAAAGAAACGGAGGCTCAGCTAGGGGGCAGTTCTGACCCAAGCTTTCATAACCAATAAATAGCCGAGGTGGGATTTGAACCCAGGGCTGCCTCTTGTAGGCTTGCCAGTGAATGATGGATAAAACTGTTACTGGCATTATACCCAGAATTTATCGCCTAAGGATTAAATTTATTTCAGGAACACCCCAACCCCCCTCCCCCAGAAAAACATAGTTTCAGTCACAACAGGACAGGTTCTATTTATTTTATGATCCATTTAAAATAGTAAACGTTTGCTGAGTTGCCCCATCAGCTGCTGCATTTCCACTGCTTTAGTGTTTGGGTTTCTGTCCTGAGCCCTTTGCGAAAAAGTGTTGAGGTCAGATCAGACTGGAGACTCGTCTTTCCTTGGGGCAGCTGACATGCCTTGATGTGTGAGTAGAGGTGTCGAAGTGAAGACACGCTCTGTCTTCCGTGTGCCTGTGCTGAGTGTCCCTAACTGACGTGTGCCTGCCCCCCCCACCCCCATGGCACTCCTTACATGCAGTCCTCAGGATACACACAGCCTCTAACAAAGGACCACATCTGCCAGAAGGGATGGTGGCAAAGGACGGCAGAGTGCGGCCGGTGGAAATAAAGTGCCTTTTCTCATTTAAGTTCCCTGCATGGAGGCAGGAAAATAGAGGCCTAGAGGAGAGGCTTAAACAGGGAGGGAGAGAGAAGAAAATACCCTAGGGTGGGGAAGAGGGAAGGGCGGAGGCAGAGCCTGAGGTGAAGGGAGGTGAGGTTCCTGACTTGGATTTAGGTTTTGGTGATGGGAGGTGGCTGGGCACCAAAGGGGAGGTGAATCTAAGGCCCAGTGGGAGATGCAGGCAGCAGGCAGTGGGAGGGTGAATGGCACAGCAGTGCGAGGAGGGCCCTCCAAGCTTCAGTGCGGGCTTGGCTACCGGCCCCCTGTTGAAGTGCCACTGGCACTGGCTTTGGCCCACTGTTGGCCGCACCGCTGCTCAGAGGCAGAGCTTCCAGACTCCCACTCCAGTGCTCCTTGTTGTGGGGGTGGGGGCTGGTGCAGGGGGCTGGAGCTGGCTGAGCTGATCTGCTGAGTGCTCTGATTGCCCTAGGACTACGGAGCTTCCGGGTAGGGCTGCACTGAGGGCATGCACGGTGAGGGCACCAGTTGCCCCTGTTCAGACGGGGCCACGCAAATAAATTCCACAGTGTGTTTCATTAGTCCAGGAACAGCTTGAGCTAATCGAGGCATGTCTCTGTTGTGCGCTGCTCATGCCAGGGGGTTAAAAAAAGAAATAGTCATGCTGATCCAAGGGCTTTTTGTGGGCAGTGCAGAAATAATAAACCCAAACCCAGAGTCAGGCCATTTCAGGAGCGAGGTTGTGTGCCCAAACGGAGCCAGATTCTGCCAGCTCGAGGAGATAATCAAAGCCGTCAGACACGCAATTCCATGCCCTCCACAGGGACCAGCCTCCCTGTTGCAGGGCAGAGGTAAGTGGGCATGTTTTCTGTTTAAAGGGTCCGATTTCAATGTGGAGGGCTTGTTTGTTTTCCCAGCTCGGTCATTTCCATGGCACTGTACCAGGGCCCCAAATTCACTCGGTTCTGGCTTTTCATGCCAGTGTGTTCTGGGAAGACCAGCTCCCAGGGTGAGCCCAGGCCCAGCCTCTCTGAGACCCGTGCTCAATGTCTGGTCCTTGCCTTCCTGGAGAACTTGTTTCCTAGACCCACTTGCTCAAGGCTGGTGTACAGTGTTGGTACCGGGGACAGTGATGGTAATGATGGTAGTGATGAAGGATAGTAGCTGTTTGTTTGCTCAAGCACTGTGTTAAATGCTTTGGTGGTGAAGACTGTTAACAGTAATGGCTCACATTTAGTGTGTATCTACTCTGCTGTGCAAGGTTTTGAGCATCTCTGGGAATGACTAGGTAAGGCAGATGCTGTGTGCTCCTTTTCCAGAGGCAGGGTCCAGTCAGAGCCTGCATTCCTTCCTCTGGTTTTAACTGCTAAATTGAACTAATTTGAGTTTAATTTGAACGCATGGGATATGGACAAGCCACTGCCCATTTAATTAATTTGTTTATATCATTAAATAAGAGCTTTAAGGGCCACTAAATGCAGAGCATTCCATTTGGCAGGTGCAATACAAAGTTGAGAGAAGAGCCAAGGATATGGGCTTTGAAACCAGAACTGAGTTTGAGTCCAAATTAGATGCTCTCTTCTGGCTCCAAGTGGCTGGAGTGGGTAAGAGCACAGATTCTGGGTCTGGGTTTGAAAACTGATTCCACGACAATGAGCTGTGCAACCTTCAGCAAATTCCTTAACCTTTCTGTTCCTCGCTTTTCTCTTCTTTAAAATGAGATCACTGTGGGGTTGCTGTGGGGTAAGGGTCTTTATGGGGATTAAATGAGTTTATATATATATATACACTGAGTACCATGTTGATATTTGTTACTGGTACTATTTGCTGGTAATAAAGCTTCAGTGTTCTCATATGTAAAACCCGACCGTCTTAGTACTGAAGTTCATCACAGAATTGTGATAAGGATTGTGTAAGTTTCCTGTGGCTGCTGTAGGGAAATACCATGAATGGATGGCTCAAAACCACAGAAATTTGTCTCCCAGCTCTGGAGGCCAGAAGTCTGAAATCAAAGTGTGTCAGCAGGGCCCTGCTCCGTCTGCAACCTGCAGGGCCATCCTTCTTTCCTCTTCCCAGCTTCCCCTGGTTTACCAGTGGTCACGAGTGTTCCGCGGCTTGTAGATGCAGCCCTCCAGTCCTCTGTCATCAGATGGTTCTCTGTGTGTCTCTCTTCACAAGGCCATCTTCTTCCTAGGACATCAGTCCTATTGAATGAAAGGCCCACCCTACTCCAGTGTGACCTCATCTTCATTGCCTCTGCAGTGACTCTGTTTCCAAATAAGGTCACGTTCTGCACTGATTAGGGGTTAGGACTTCAACATAACTTTTAGGAGGACATGATTCAACCCCTAACAGGGACGAAATGGGAGAAGCATTGAGCATAGAACCTTTAATGAAACCGTGCCAGTACTGTTCGCTGTACCTGTTATTACTGTTACCCTGTCACCCTTATCACAGTGACTGCCCCTTGCTGGGTGGCCACAGGCAGTTCTCTGAACATCTTTGAACCTCGTATTTTAACTGGAAATGTAAGGTTTCCCATGTGTGAGCTGTGAGTGGTGAGGCCCATCTTACAGGATGAGCCAGTTTGTTAATATCCCTCATCCCAGCATTGCTGGCTCTCTGAGATGGGGGGACGTAGGGCCACCTCCCAGGAGGGACCCCCTTCCAGGATGAAGTAGGGATGCATGCGTGCTGGTGCCCATCCCCCTTCACTGCCAGCACTTTATCTCTCAGTGAGGAGAAGCCTCCTGTGGGTGCCTCTGCACGGACATAGAAGGCTCCTTGCCCTTCCTGTGGAGTGAGAAAGACTCAGAGGTGTGTCCAGATGGGAGCTGGCTTGGATTTTCCACATCCCCAGTTGCTTTGCAGTCAGAATGGAAAAAAATACGTTTTTTTTCACTTGGGAGCTGAACAGATTAGCTGCCGAGAAGTCTAGATATCTATGGAAACACTCCTAATTTTAGCCATGCTACACTTAATGCCAACTCTTTCGAGTGCTGCACTGGGTCAGGGCCCAGGGACTCGGGAAGGTGAGCAGGCCCGAAGGGTTCAGGACGAGCACAGAGTAGCCAGTTGACAAGCCAAAAATGGGAGGATGCTACCTAAGTCTGGCACTGTCCCAAAGGGACTGGCTCCATGGAGAAAGTGGGCCTGAAAAGAGGGGCCTGGAGAGAGGACCATGTATCAAAAATTAGTATTTTGAATGGAAGGATTTCCCTCACCTCTCCCTGTCTAAATTCTGCTCATTTTCAGCCCATTTCCACTTCCCCATCTTTAGAATCGGCCCTCCTGCCCTGAATTCCCACCACCTTTTATAATTCTGTGGAAGCACTTCTGTCAGCCCAGTTAGTTTTAAAGTTAATCCATGTACCTTGCAGTCCCCCATCTATTTTTGAGTCCTTCACGGTCAGCCATGGCCATTGTCATGCCTGTGTGCTGAGCCTGCCATGGAACAGACATGCAGAAAATCATATTGAGCATATGAGATGTGACTGTTGATTTCTGGTTGACCAAACAAGGGGCTGGGCAGCCACTCAAAAAGGGACGTGAAATAAGTGAGGACAGGAGAGTGTACAGCTCTTTGGATGGGAAGAATCCACTTGGATGGGAGTGGAAATTGCCTGTAATTTTATTAAGGACATGTTGGGGAGGGTCACAGGCGAGAGGAGGCCATGCATGAGATGGTGGGTGTTGGGCGTAATGGGGTGAGGGCAGAAATGGATGGCGATCATTACAGGCCATGTAAGGAGCGTCACTTCTCTCGTGTCAGCCCTGTCCTTCCAGCCAGGTCAGTCCCTAGCAAAAATCACTAAAGAATGTGAAACCCACAAAGGCCCTTAGACCACAGCCAGTTCTGCGTGTTTGGAAGTGTGATCTTAATGGCAAGCATTTTTACATTAATACTTAGTGATTTATTTTGAAGGGTATATGTAAACCAGACTATAACTAGCTTCCTAAACTTGTCATCTCTTGGTATTACTGCTTAAGGTGAGGCAGGTCATGAGAGCTGCCTTCTGCAGACCCCACGGGTTCCATGGGGCCTTCTGCATACATATGGATGTGTGAGACCTATAATAAGAAACGTCCTGTGGGAAATTTGGAAGGAAGGCTTATGAAGATGGAAGAGGTTTCTGAGATGAATTCTTTGTATTGAATCTCTATATACCTGTGTTCTTTTCAGCAGAAAGTAAAGCAGGATGGTTGTGTTAAAAATGGGAAGGTGGTGCGTAAGAGATTGTAAGATGGGCGGCACCGAGCCCCCTTTGAACAAAGGAGGTGGTGAAGCATAGGTAGACCAGATGGCCCAGCCAGTAGTGTCAGCACATGGGGCTTGAACCAGATTTTTTCCCTTTGTCTACCCATATTCACATACTAGACAGAATGTAAACTAGTTTCTACCAAATACTTGGGCACATTATTGAAGTTATTTAACCCCACTAGCAGTGTTGTGCAGCAAACACTGTTTCTCTTTTACTCTGCATTTACTCTGCAGCCAAGGGGGACCTGAGGCTCATGGTCTTGACATGACTAGCTGAGGCCTGCCCTGCTGGTAAGATGGAGGCCCAGTGATGCAGCACAGCCTCCTCCCAGGACATTCTGCTTGTCAGGGAGCTGCAAACCTACCGGACGTAGCTTTTAGATTTTGGAAATAGAGACCCGCACAGAGGTGTGGTGCTGTGTGGCTCCTTTGGGAAAGCTCTGCCCAAGCGAGTGATGGAACCGGGGCCAGAATGCAGGCTGCTCGGGCCGGTGGGCAAATTGGAGGGCTGGGTGGGCATTTCCTAGGCAGTGGGTTGGGTGCTTCCCTCTTGGGTGACTCTGTTTATCTAGGACCAGCAAAGGCTGCCTGCCCGGTGGGGTGGGGGAGGTGCGGGCTCCTCCCTTTGGTTTAGTTACCCTCTAGGTCATACAGAGCGAGTTGCCCCAGCCGAGTTGCCCCAGCCGACTGGGTGAGTCAGAGCAGAGCCCAGAACAGGAGCCTGCGGGCGTGTCTGTGAAGGCCGTCTCATCCCAGTCATTTTAAGTGTTGAAGATGATTAAGCTTTTATACGTAACATTGTGTGCAGACTTCTTTAGGATCATCTATTAGCGTCCCCTGGCAACAGCTTTTCCAGTTAGCCGCACCCACCTTACGGTAATTAACTGGACTGCCGTGGCCCCCCTCACTATTTATGCATTATCCAGCATCCTCCCAACTCCCTCACTGACTGCCTGACTAATTCATTCACTCACGAGAGCGATTTTATTAGGCACCTGTTTTGCGGTAGCTTTGTGTTGAGCAGCATTCTCTTCTCATTGCAGGAAGGTTTGATACGTGGTAAGAATGGAATGTCAGTGTTCCTGTTGGCACTGGCATAAGGGTCCCCCGTTTATTTATTTATTTATTTTTTGAGTCTGTAAGTTCCATGAGGGTCAGGCCCTTAGCTCATATCTATGTCTCCAGTGCCTAGAAGAATGCCCAGCACGTAGTAGGTGCTCTGTGAATACTGGTTGAAAGAAAAGAGTAAAGTGAGTGCGTGCTTTGTGTTTGGCTCCATGGGAGGTGCTTTACGCAAACATCTTTCCAGTCCTCCCAGTAACCCGTCTTTCACAGTATCTGCATCTAGCCCCTATTTTAGGGTACCAGCTGGTGGGCATATTGCCATTATAAGCACTTGCATAGCTGATAATTTCCATCATGACTGAAAAATGTATCCAGTATGATCCAGATGAGGAAATGTGACACAGAGAGGTTAAGTAACTCGCCTAAGGTCACACAGACCCTCTAGCTTCAAGCCATTTCTCTTCCATACCAGTGTTGTCCAGCGTTGTGGGTGATGGAAATGGGCTCTTATCTTCACGGTAGCCA